AATGCCATCATCTTGTTGGGGGCCAGGGGCAGGGTTTCAATATAATGCATCTTGGGAGGATGCAGGCGTGCAGTGCCCAGTGCTGGGCCTATGCTCTTTGAGTCCTGAGAGAAACCTGGGCTTCAGATGATATCCAAAGTCTAGCCCTATTTCAATCTTCGGAGGTTTTTAACCACATTTAAGGAGAGGCATCCAGCTTGTGTTCTGTCCTGTATTCCGGAATCAGCCATCACTGCTGACAAAGGCTGAGAGGTGGCGAAGGGTGAGCTTGGCTTCCTTATGGAGCTGTTTTAAGACTAAGACTTGATGTGGGCTCTTCACCAAGACCAGACATAGCCTGTACCCTCTGCAGAAACGGCTCTCAATCTTCTGCTCTTTTTTTTAAGAGAGTTGCTCTTCATTGCTTTTAGGGTTTTCTTTTCCTATCTCCCTCCTAATGCTTCTGAAAAGTCAGTGTTCGGAGCTTTCTAGAATCTATACTATGGTCCTTAAAAAAATTTTGGTTTTCATTGGCTAACAACTCTTTGACCAACCTCCTCTCTCCCCTCCCTGTCCTCCTCCCCTCACTCCATTTCCCCATTCCTCTCCTCTCCCTCCCTTCTCCCTTGCCTCCGCCCTCCCTCCCTCCCTCCCTTCCTCCCTCCCTCCTTCCTCCCCTCTTCCTTATCTGTGCTCTTGCATATCTCTATGTGCACATCTTAGATTTTTTCATCCAACAAAAATTTGAGATCTGGCTTTCTGTTCCCATCTTCAACTGGAAGATTGCTTACTGGTTTTCAAAAATGTTTTTGAAAATGATTACTGTGTCTTTAAGAGCTAGCTCCCTACTTTTTGAGGTGAACGATTTATAATAGAAATAAGTAGTCACAAAGGGAGAGTGTGTGCTTCCTTTGACCTTACTCTTTGAATAAATGATCAAGGATCTGCAGTTTATATGGGATTTATTCTTTACAAATTACTAATGAATAAAAAGAGAAGTATAGCATAATTTCAAACACTCTCATTTGACCATGAAACAGACTTGATAATATGTGTACACCTACAAGGTGCGGTGTGTAAGACGTTGTGAAGTGTGTTCAATAATAGCACGCCTTGTACTAGGCATTCTTTTATAACATGCCTTAATAATAAATCTGTCCTCATAAGTCATTTGTGTGGATTGATGTTTGAAATTTTGGCTCACTTGTTAAAATGCAAAACATAATTTCCATGTTATCATTTTTTTAAAAATTGGCATCCAAAATACTTTAAAGACATTAGTCCAGTGTCTCCTTATCTTACACTGCCCCTAAACATCTTCAGACAGTATAAATTCTGTCGTACTCAAAGAATTGCATAGAGACTGAAATTTCAAGATCTATTTTCTGTATCTTTTTAACATAGCATATGATCATAGGCCTCCATGTTTTCCCATCTGTGAAGCCACGTGGCATTTCAGGAGGGGTTTTTGACATTGAGCAGTAGGTACCTAGCAGCTCTTAGATTTTAATTAATGACTAAAACCAGGTCACAGGAAATGTTTGGATAGAAATAGAAATAGGCTGTGGTTAAGATGTTTGGTGGGTATATAAGACGTTCGGGGTGTTTGTTTTAAATCCCTGAAGTAGGTAGATATGTTGCATTGTTTGTTTTAGAAACAGAAATTTTTTTTTCTACTTGAGGCTCAGTTCAAGTAGATACTAAGCTGTTATTCTTGTTTCCTTTCTGTTGTGATAAAAAAAAACACCCTGACCAAAAGCTACTTAGGGGAGAAAGGGTTTATTTGGCTTGTGGTTCTAGGTTACAGAGGGAGTCACAGCAGCAGTGAGCTGACAACTGGTCACTTCACATCCACAGTCAAGAGGAGAAGGAAATAGGTGCATCATGCTGCCTGCTTGCTTCTGGCTTTATCCATACTTATAAAATTCAAGGCCCAGATCAGGGGGACGTCACTATGACAAGGATGGCCTATTACCAATCACAGTGTTCCCACAGACATGTCCACAGCCAGCCTGATCTATATTATTTCTACCAGGTAATTCAAGGCTGTGGCAGGTGGACATTTAAACTAACATTAGAGCAGTGATGTGCAATAGTAACAGTGGGAAGGCGGGAAGTAGTTACACAATAGTAACTGGACAGGAAATGATGTTAGCTGTGCGTTCAAAATTTGTTAGAAAACATTGATCCTAACCGACATTTCTTGGAAATATGTTTTGAAAAGGAAATGAACATTTTTGGAAATCCATTCTTAAGATAAAGTTACCCTTCTGAAATCACTAGATCCTTTTGTGAAGAACGTTCCTACATTTCTAATATCAGAGTTTAGATATTTTTAAATCTAGAAATAAGATGGAAATATCTTTATCTGAATTCATGTCCTTATTTTTAACTAAATGGAATTTCATACAGTACAGACTGAGAAAATAGTGACTAGATTTTTTAATAATAAATTGTAACTTATACAAAATAAGAATCTTGCTACTAAAGAGGTTAGGCTCTTCCTAGTGTAATTTATTATGGTCCATTATAACTACCCACTTATGTAATCAATGAGTTTGTAACTAAGATAAAGTCTTCAGCATAACATGAAAATATCCTGGTATTAGTCTGGTTTGCAATCAGAACTTATAGATAGGGCTGTATGCTTTTATTCATTGGGTAATGAAGAAAAAAAGTGAATAGAAACTGGAAGTATTAGAGGCCAAAAGCCTTGAAAAGACTCAACCCACTAATAACTCAGAAAAGAGACAGCATGATTTCCAACATAATAGACAGATTTTAAAAAACTAAGTCGTTAAGTTAAGTCCATCAACAGAAAAGGAAAATGTGTGCCATTTGAAAACATTGTTTATTTTAGCTCCTAAAAGAATTTTTAAAGATTTTACTGTTCAGTACTGTGGACTGTGACTTTACACTAAGCAACTCCCCCGGCCCTAAGAACCTTGTAAAAATAAAGAGGTATCATTATGAAAACTATGGAGAAACTTGATGTTTTGTAATTATATACTTCAATTCTGGGCAATTTTTATTAATATTTTCAAAATGAATGGCGTTATCCTGATGTCATGGTCTCATAATGGGATTTTTAATATTTGAATGGAATAAAACTTTATTGAGCTTTGTCTTTGTCATTGTTAAGATTTTATTTTTTTTTATTTTATTATGTGCATGGTTGTTTTGCCTGTATATATGCCTGTATATATGTCTGAGCACCACCTGAATGGATGCTGGGAATTGAAACTGGATCCTCTGGTAGAGCAGCCAGTGCTCTTAACCCTGTTTCATCTCAGTGAAGTTTTTAGGAAGAGTTCTTGGATAATTTTTAAGGCCCCATCTCCCCCGATCAGGAGCAATAGGCTCTAGCCTTTATGTGCAGCAGTTTGGTTGCAAAACTACGTTGAACTATGCGTTATTCTTAGCCTTTCGAAGATATTGTTCATTGCTGTCACTGGATGCGACTGAGGAACCCTGAGTGACTGTCACAGTTTCCTTGTTTACCCAACTGGATGTGGACATAAACCTTAATGTTTAGCAACCTTATCAAAATATATGTTGATGCAAATCATGATCAAGCTTATTCCTCCCCTCAGCCCACCCTCTCCTTCTGTATTTCTATTTCTTCCTTGAACTGGGCACACCTATCTTATCAACTATTTTTCTTCTGGGAATTTGTTAAGCAATTTTACGTTCCCATAGCTTGACACAGAGCGTGAAATGCCCCTTCCTCCCGTATTTGTTACAATTTTGGCAAATGTATTTGGCACAAGAACGTCCTCGGTGAGACTTCCTACAGCAGGCGACCCAGTCACGCCCCCCGCTACTCTAATTTAAACGGTAGGTTGTTTTTGTTTTTTTAACTAAGATTACACTTGGAACACAGTTACGGTTGACCCTCATGAGCCTTCTGCTCAGGACTGAGAGCCGAGCGAGGGCCACTTAAATCCGCGTACCCATGCGCTAGGGAAGGCAGAGACCTTGTGCCTAGACAGTCTGGAAGGGGTCGCTGGCTCAGAAACTCCTGAGCGCCTAGAACACTGAAGTGACAGCTGGATACCGTCTCCACGCTGGGATAAGAACCCGAATCACACACTGGATGGCAGGACCGTATAGGTTAGCCCGGGGAAGGCGAGGCCACCCTGCCGGGTCGGGCGCGGGGCACTGGAATCCAAACGCAGAGCGAACTTTTGTGAGTGAGGAAGGCGGGGCGGGGTGGGGCGGGGCGGGGCCGGGCAGAGAGAAGTGTACACATGCGCAGTGTCCACACAACCGTGTTGAGCACCGCCCAGAAGGTGGAGCATCCTGCTGCGCATGCGTCCGGAGCCACCGGCTCTTCTAGGGTTGGTAAACTTGGTTTGTGGTGCGTAGCGGGATGGTTCCTAGGTGCCAGGTAAGAGTTGGTACGCGCGGACGGGCTAGCCTGGGTGTGGGGCTCCACTACAGCCCGGCCCTGCTGGGGCGCCCCTTCCTCTCCAATTCCTCCAGGGCTCCGGGCCTTGCGGCTGCTGCTTACTAAAAGTCAAGTTCTGTCCCTGAACTCTGGTGTCCAGGTCATGGCCTGCACGATTCCCTTTTGGAGGCTCCTAGACTTTTTTTTCCCGGCCATTCGGGCAGATTCATTTTGACAGACACTTTTTAAAAATTAAAACGCTCCTAAGTAAGAATTATTGTGAGGAAATGTGCATAACCCATGGATTGACAGGCCCTGGATGATTTGCAGCAGCCGTGATTATTGTGGAGATACTAAGTTGTACTGAGTGACAGGTGAACCCTTGTGCATGGTCAGGTCCCTTAGTTCCCAGGCTGATTACACAGGTTTGGCCTAGAAACTACCAGTTTATCCTGTAATTCAAGCCATTTGCTCTGCTGCATGTCAGATGTTCTGTGTTATGTAACTTAATCATAATGTAAGACGGAATCAAAGGTCATATGACCACGGTGAAATGAAAGCTAGGCCTTTGCTGACTGGGTCATTTAATTTACTTGTGTAATCCACCTCCTGACTCAGACCTCTGTTACTTCCTCGCGGCTTATGGAAGAATCGATTCTGTGTCAACTTAAGGCAGACTTACCGTGTCTTCTAAGGAAATGTAGTAGGATTTTAACGTGAGAGGCCTGAAAGGTATGCAGAAGTCAGAACTGAGGTTAAAGCTTTTTGTCTCAAATATGAATCAGTGGATATCTTGAAGTGTTTTGTTTGCTTTTGTTTTTGGAGACAAGGTTTCTCTGTGTAGCCCTTGCTATCCAGGATCACACTTTGTAGACCAGTCTGGTCTTGAGCCCACAGAGATCTGCCTGCTTCTACCTCCCGAGTGCTGGGATTAAAGGCATGTGTTGTCACCACTAGGCAATACTGAAGTTTTACGAGCCATTGCATTTGGGAAGGGAGGAGACTTCTTGGTGTGAGTTATTTAGAGTCTCCCCTCTCCTTTCAGATTGAAGTGTTGTATTTTGCAAAGAGTGCTGAAATAGCTGGAGTTCGCTCGGAGACCATTTCTGTGCCACAGGAAATCAAAGCATCGCAGCTGTGGAAGGAGCTAGAGACTCTCCATCCTGGGTAGCTAAAGTTGTAGAGTGCATATGATGAACATGCAAAGGTTTTTAAAATGTGGAAATTATGTGTGAGTGTGTGTATGTGTTTTAACAAAAGAGTACTAGTTCTGTTTTTCTTGAAAATTTAAAACTCTGGTGTTTAGAGACATTCAATTACCACAAGGAACATTACAGATAAGTTACTAAAAAGACAGTCAAGTGGATGCCCCTAGATATTTTTATGTAATTTACAATCATTTTTATAATCTCTAAGACAGAAAAATGTAAGTTCTGCCTTTTATAGCCTAAGATGAAAAATTTAAAGATGCTGTTAAAGATGTACACTGTAAACTTTTCTGTCCTTTTCTCTTAATTTTGAGATTAAAAGAAAAATGAAGTATAACAAGCCCTACATGCTTCTGAGGTTTGCTTTGATGATATTTGAAAATTTCCCACTGGCCCTTGAAAATCTGAAATTTAAATTATCATTTTTCCCTCAAGCCCTTCTGGGATGAAATATAAAAGGGTTTGAAAACGGAGAGAGCTTTCACCCAGAGCTCTGCTCCGTGTGGAAGGTGCTACACTGGCAGCTCCCAGCCTGTGCGCTGTGACCCCTGTGGGAGTCGAGTGACCTTTACACAAGGGTCACATCTCAGAGAGCATATCAGTTATTTATATTACGGTTCATAACAGCAGCCAAATGACCGTTGTGAAGTAACAATGAAGTAATTTCATGGCTAAGGATCAACACGATGTGAGGACAGCTGTACTAGAGGATTGCAGCATTAGGTAGGTGCCACACTGTGTGCACAGAAGGAACTACTTCTCCCTGGCTAGAAACCACTCAAATCATTTTTTCCTTCAGTGAAAAGTTGGCAAGACCTTTGCACCATTTTTGCCCACAGCCAGCTTCATGTGAAAAGGATGTGTTCTGGTTGGGAAGTTTTTTTTGTTTTGTTTTCTCTAAAGTTTTGAATATTAGGCCTGTAAACTTGTCTGTCCTTTTCTTTAGAATACTCCAAAGTTTCTGAGATTAAAAGGAAAGTGAAGTGTAACAAACCCTACCGGCTGCCGAACTTGGGTTTTATGATATTTGAGAATTTCCCACAGGCCTGACTTTTGGGGCTTTTGTATTTTTTTCCCCCAAACACATGACTTTTCAGCAAAGAGTACAACCTAACGTATTTTTGTGATCAAGCGTGTTCTTTGAGGGAGATGTTCTCTACAGAGTGGGAGTTAGTGCAATACCTTTGTGCGTGAAGTGTTACCCAATGCTGCTGAGGAGGAGCTGGGAGGAGCAGTTCACAGTGCCTCATCAGGCTGTTTCTCCTTCAGGCTGGCTGATGTTAGAAACCAGGTGATATTTGCTGTTCGTCAAGAGTATGTCGAGCTTGGAGATCAGCAACTCCTGCTTCAGCCCGGAGACGAGGTTGCCATCATCCCGCCAATCAGCGGGGGATAGTGCATCTGAGCCATCTGGGTAAGGTGAAGGACCGGTCACAGGATACCTTGTGGGTGGTTTGCTGATACTGTCTATTCTTTGTGAGTCAGTCTGCACCAGTCCTTTACCTAGGCAGCAGCCATTGGGATGACTGCACTGATGATAGGTAGTGATGAATACTGTCTACCGTCTCCCATGACTCCTAGAGGAAGCAGTTGGATGTGTTCATTATATTCATTTAACATTGCTCTTTGAGATCTTATTATGCTTGCATTTTGATGGTGGGAAAATAAATTCAGAAAAATTTAAAACAAAACAAAACAAAACAAAACAAAAACCCTTGTCTTTGGGGACTGGGGAGGTGGCTCAGTCAGTGAAGTGCTTTCATGAGGAAGAGACCTAGAACCTCTGCAGAAGCTAGATGTGGCGACACATTCTATTAGCCCCAGTCCTGGAAGGCAGACACAGATGGACCCTAGGATGTGCATACAGTGAAGCAGTTGAGGAAGGCACCAATGTTGCCATTTGGCCTCCATTCAAATGTCCACGGTGTTCAGGTTCGTGAATACACATGCATACATACACATACAAACAAAATTTTGCCTTGACCACATGTGGCCACACATGCCTTTCGTCACAGTAGCAATTTGAATTCATCTTTGTAGCATGATCTTGTTTACTTTTTAACAGATGTGATTACTTATACCTGATAATAGCTTCCTTTGTCCAGCACAAAGGAGCAGCTTATCAGCTGTGTGGCAATGGAGCTCCCCGGGCAACTTAGTTCATGGTGGAGTGAGATGCCTATAAACATTCTTCATGGTAGTTTGGAAGAACCCAGTTTAAGGATCAAGTCAAACAGCTTGCTTTATTGTCAACTGAAGAATAAATAAACTGCAAGCTAAATTATTTTTGATTAAAAACTCTTTAAGCTGTAGATTAAAAAAAAAAGAGATAGAAAAAAATTCCCCCCAAAGCAACAATTTGGCCCCATTGAAAACAGGCCATAGGTGTCTGTTTTCTCTGCCTCCCTTTCCTGGAAAGCTATGTAGTAGATACCAGCATGTTCACACTTAGGGAACTTTCTCAGGCCTGCTGCTGGGCACACAAGGATTCCCTGTGAAAGATATATCTCAGTTTCATGATCACATTCTGATCAGCATATCACCATGAAAATCTCAGGGAGTTCTAAGACGCTATTTTTCAGAGTTAATTCAAAGAGCAGCGTGCTGCTTTTAAAAGCCCATGTATGTAACTGCAGCTATTCAGAAAGGTGAGAGCGATTGCTAATAGGATTGGACAATGTTTGAATGAGCTCGGCCTGGGTTATCTTGGGTGGTGTGAGAACCCGAAAGCCACTCTTGAGTAGTCTTGTACAATCAGAGGTGCAGGAACTTAGTATGGGTAGAAGCATGATCTGGGTTTGGTGTTATCAGGAAAAAAATTACGTGTAAAGCAATGGTTCTTAACCTGTGTGTGTGTGTGGGGGGGTCAGACAACCCTCTCACAGGGGGTCATATATCAGATATCCTGCATATCATATTTATAATTCATAACCGCAGTAAAATTACAGTTATAAAGTAGCAACAAACTGACTTTATGGTTGGGGGTCACCACAACATGAAGAGCTGTACTGAAGTGTTAGGAAGGTTGAGAACTGGTGTGAAGGGTGTAAGCACCTCAGGTGGCACACAGAGAAGGGGAGAAATCCTGGGAGCCAAGTGCTGGTTTGTTTTGTTTTGTTTTTTTTAGTTGGAGGTAGGGAAACAGGCGCTGGATTAAGACTTCTTGAGTTCTCAGCACTTTGCCCAGGTCTCTGATAACTTTTCTGAGGCTTCTTTCACGTTTTTCTGTTCAGATGAATTCCACAGGATTTCTATTAGACTTCTCATGGCGTATAGTATAAGGTCCTCTTACCTGGTCAGCCTCAGGCTAGCCTCTCCCCTTTACTCCTGTGCTTGTCAGTGCACCATATTCTTTCTTGTCCCATAATCTTGAAATTTGCCATTCCCTTTCATCACCTACACCCTGTCCCCATTTCTCCATGTCACTTCTTATCTCTCAGGTCTCAACTTTGAACATTACCTTTCTAGAAAGACCTTTGGGGTCCCTTTATCTGCAATAGTACCGAAACGTGTCTCAGAAATTTGTTTATTTCTATTAGGTTGTCACAATGTGGTAGATTTGTGATTGCTCTTACATTTTTTTGCATATCTTGTGTGTATGTGTGTTTGTGTGAGTGCACATGCGCGCACGCACGTGTGCATATGTGTATGTGTGTACATGTATAAATGTACACATGCTGCAGGGTGCATATGAAAGTCAGAGGACAACTTGTAGGAGTCAGTTTTATGTCCTGGGCATGAAACTTGGTAGTTAGCCTTGGCGACAAGGACCCTTACCTTACCTGCTGAGCCATCTTACTGGACCTGTGGTTCTTCATTGGATTGTTTCTCCTGTTCAGATACACTCTGAGGTCAAGAGCCTGTGCTTTTGTTCCCTGCAGACCAGTGCCCAGGGTACTTCTGGCTCTTAGTCATTTGTCTTAGTTAAGATTTCTATTCCTATGATGAAACACTGTGCCCAAAAGCAAGTTGGAAACCAAGAAGTTTATGTCTGTTTACCACTCCAGACCACACTCCATCACTGAGGGAATTCAAGGCTGGAACTGAAGCAGAAACCATGTTGGGATACTGCTTACTGACTTGGTCCTCATAGCTTGTTCATTATGGTTTGCTTCATCTGCTTTCTTACAGCACTCAGGAGCACCACTCTAGGGGTGGCACTTCCCACAGTGAGCTGGGTCCTCCCACCTTAATCATCCACAAAGAAAATGCCCCACAGGCTTACTTTCCTACAGACCAATCTGGTGGCAGCCTGAGATTTCCTCTTCCCAGATAACTCTAGCTTGTGTCAAGTGGACATAAAACTGCCCACCATAGTATAAACAGATGGCATGGCATAATGCTGTTTAATGAATAAATGAAAAACTCCAAAAGACTTTATATGGTACCCGGAGGATAGGTGCAAAGGTGTTATCTTTTTTCCTTTAGAACTTAACTTGGCTTGAGCAGGGTTGTGATAGGCTCCTTCTTCCTGTGGAATCATCATCTCTTCTCTTTTCCTGTCTCTTGCTTGAATAAAGGAAAAGGCCATTCTGCGTGTGCGGCTGGCTTACATAGTGGTTAGTGATGTTCTGGATGTGGGACTTGGTTATTTAATGGTTAGTGATGTTCGGAGTATTGGACTTGCTTACTTGATGGTTAGTGTATTCTGGGTATAGGGCTTGGTTGCACAGTCATTAGTAACGGCATACATATAGATATAAGTGATGATACTTCAACTGTATCGTGCTGAGAGATGAACAGCAGTCATGTTCTCTGGGTGTATTGGCATATGACATGGACACATACATGCTAGTAATGATGCTTATATAGAATTCCTGTAGCTTCATGAGGAAGTATGATAGTTGTATTGGTTTGTTAAAACCTTGGACTTAGTTTGTATCACTCAAATCAAATCCTCCACTTCCCACCTAATATAGAAAACATGGACCTGGAAACAGTGTGTAAGTCGAGTGTTCCTTCTGCCACTCTTGCGAAGGGTTGTTGACATCTTCTTCCTAGGAACGACGCGGATGAAGTTCAGGAGAAACCTAAAGACATAGTACAGTTCACTGCCGAGAAGCTCTCAGTGGGTGAAGTGTCACAGTTGGTGGTGTCCCCTCTGTGTGGTGCCGTGTCTCTCTTTGTAGGTGAGTTTGTGATTTTCTGTGCTTCTACAGGGTAGAATCCAGGGAGTGTTCTCCACGTTGGTGTCAACAGTCAACAGATGTACAATACTGAGTGACAAGCCAAAATTGCCAGTTTTAGTTTTATCTTAGTTACTTTTTTGATTAACAAGCCATATTAAATTACAGGGATGATAAAGCATGGTAAAAGTCAATGCTAAGAGAGAAGTTTCATACATTCCAAATGTTGAGATAAAATATATATTTACAATAAAGCTGGGAACACAAATATTTTCCTTTTAAGTATAAAGTGCTGTTGGTAAGAGAGCACTACAGCTCGGTCTGTCCTGTGATGCTTTTAGAGAGATTGCTTAATTATTATTATTTCTGATCATCTTGGAGAAACTCATGTTTGTTCTCCTAACCAAGTTTTGCTTGTAGAAAATGTAAAGTATGTTTTAGACAGATGCACACTACTTCTTTGTAATTTAGAAATAATTCTTTTTAAAAGAATTATGTAAATGAAGTATTTCTGTTATAGGGGAAATCTTATTTTCCTTGTGTGATTTTTTTTTTATTTTGTTTTTTAGGGACTACGAGAAATAACTTTGAAGGCAAGAAAGTCATTAGTTTAGAATATGAAGCATATGTACCAATGGCAGAAAATGAAATCAGAAAAATTTGTCACGACATTAGACAGAAATGGCCAGTGAGACACATAGCGGTGTTCCATCGGCTTGGGTAGGATCTTTTGATCTTTTGAATGGTGAATATGGTTTTCTCTAGAGGACAGTGGAAAAGGGCATACAGCATTTACCTTGATTGCTAGTTGGGTTGCAGCTTTGGATGCCCTCGCCACTTCTTCTGCTATAACAAAATGTAACTGCTGCTAAGCACTTCAGGTCCTGGGCCACAGTGCCTGTGGGAGCATCTGCCTAAATCCTTGACCCTAGACAGTTGTTCTGGGCTCTCAGCTTAGAATGTGGGGAAAGTTGGCTCCAGATCTGAAGCCATTAAAACAGTTGGTTTCTCATACCACCAGAAAGAGTGCCGTTCCAGGATTTCAAAAGAAGCCATCAATTAAGACATCTGTCATTGTTATTAGCTATAATTTTATTACTAACTGCTAGTGTTACTGGGTGTTGCCAATCCTGTTGCTTAAGATTAATTGGTATTTATTTTTTTAATGCTACATTAAGCCTATGTGGTCACCCTGTAGTCTGTTTTAGACCTTGTCTCATACTGTAGCTTGTTTGAATCAGGTTTATTGAATTAGAGAGAAGACCTTTTCTTCTTAGTCCGCATCAAAGAGTTTTTATGGATAGATGCTAATGTCACTGAATATAACAGGTAAATTATCATTTTCTAGGTAAACTAGATATTTAAATACAATAGAATTGCTCTATATATATTTAGTAAATATACATAAATATATACATAATATATATATACATAAATATATATAGTGAGTGTTTTTTTTTAACATTTTTACTAGTTTCTTTGATGTGTGAGTCAGGAGATAACAGCGATTTCTTTTCATCATCTCGTTAAAGTTTGGTTGCAGTGTCAGAAGCAAGCACAGTTATTGCTGTGTCCTCACCTCACAGAGCTGCATCCCTTGAAGCCGTGAGCTACGCCATTGATTCTTTAAAAGCCAAGGTGCCCATATGGAAAAAGGTGAGTGAGGAAAATAACCCATTTTGCCACTGGGAGATGATTTTATTCTTAGAGAAAAGATGGGAATTAAAAGCCTGTTCCAAATTTGGCTTTATATGGCTTGCTTGCCTACAGACTCTTGTTCTCCTCAGCTGTGAAATAGCACATTTATGCAGAGACTGTTTTCAAAGTCTAACCGTGTGTGTGTGTGTGTGTGTGTGTGTGTGTGTGTGTGTGTATGCATGGTGACAAATGAGCCTCCACAAGGGCTGGCAGGTAGAATTTCTTATTCACACTGTTTCTGGTTCATAAGGTAAAGGCCCCTTCAGTTAGGACTTTATTCAACTTTATTAACGAGATGATGAATAAAGTCCTTTTTTCTTTGGAAAGTAAGAATAATGTTGGCCTCTTTGTGTCTGGCTAAAATAGCAATCCCTGAAGGCAAAAGAACATTTGCCTAGTGGTTTTCTTTTCAGGGTGGAGACTGTGTTTGAAAAAAAATATTTAATGGATGGATTAGAAAACAAATAGGTACCAGACATGGTGTCACGTATCTACATTCCAGGCATTGTGGGAGAATCACAAGTTTTAATCGGCCGTAGGCTACATAGACCCCATCTCAAAAAAAAAAAAAAAAAAACCACACACACACACACAAGCATCGCTAGGACATTCTGATGCGTTTTCTGCCTGTAAGTCAAACAAGAACAAGTCACTCTGGTTAAATGGGCATTTGCATGGACAACCTCCCCTCCCCACAGTTGTGTAGAAGCATTGGATGGACAGTTCTGCATTTGGAATTGTGTACTTTTGCATCTGAGTCCAGGGTCCCTGAGTTGCCCTCAGAAGTGTGGCTGTTCCCAAAGCTGAGAAACTAATGACAGCTCAAAGGATCAGAAGAACTACACACAGGGCCAGGACTATCCTCAAAGGCGTGGCTCAGTCAATGGGAAAGATGAGCAAGTGGGACACAGAACCACAGTCTGTGAAATTTAGTGGACACATTTTCTGAGTAAAACCTGATTCTCTCTGGGCTAAAGACGTTGGGGACTACTTTGGAATTACAAGATAGGGTATGTGTATGGCACTCGTGATTCTGAGAATGTAAGGCAAGCCTAGACAAGGGAAAGGGCTTGAAAACACTCCAAATGAGGTTCCAGCCAGATGGCAACGATAGCTGTCTTTACTGCAGTGGAGAGGACGACAGGCAAGTCAGCAGAGGAGGCCCAGCCCTGAAGTGAGAGCAGGAAGTGAGTGGGCATACACTCTCACGTTATGCCTTGAGGAATAGTGGACTTTGTATTTGCTGTTCTTCCTTGTAGAGGGGCAGGGAAGTACGGGTGCTCAGAGGCAGTCAGACAGAGCAGGGACCTGGACCTTGTCTGGGAACAAACGAGATTCTGGTGACCTACCTCATGAGATGCAGCACAGACCTTATACACCAAGGATTTAAAATAGCTGCTCTGAGGAACCCGAGAAAGAAATTCCACAGTTTAGTAGAGAAGAGAAGGGAGTGGGGCAAGAGGAGGGGAGGGGAAAGGAGAAGAAATGAGTCTAGAGGTGAAAACCACAAGAACGCATTTAAGGGCAGTTGAACTTGGGTTCTCTTGCTGTGAGAATGAGATGTGATCAGTGTTTGAAGAGGTGACGATTTTCTTCTTCCTTTTCATAGTTGTCTGAGTTTCAGTCTGATTCTTTGCCTAGCCCACACTTGAAGATCATCTGAGACACAGGAGAAGGGGCTGGAGGCAGGTTAGGGCACTGCACAGAGGTCACACCAGACTGAAGCGCAGGCCTCTTTAAATACTTCCCTGTACTCATGTGACTTCACGGCTGGTGGAAATCCAGTCCATCTTCTCTTTTACTGAGGTTCAAGTAGATGCACTTGCAAAGAACAGTTTAAAGCTAAAGGCGTTCCATTTTCTCATACAGAACTTAATCCTTGATAAATAAAAGTTTTATCAAAAGACATGAAAGACACGGTAGCCCACATGGGATTGCTTATGCTTTTCTGTAGTTGCATTGTGTCTCGTGACAGCTTCTGGCCTGTCATTTCCTAGTTGAAGTTAGAAGAACATGTGTAAGGAACATGTATTTATGCTTATGTTCTTGGTGCCTCAGGAAGTGTCCCTTACGTTGTTAAAAAGTGTGGGTAGATGTGCTATTTACTGGTCTGAAGTATTTTCTTCTTATTAACTTGCATTTTGAACACCTGCTCTGGTTCTTGTTTTTAGGAAATATATGAAGAATCAACATCAACTTGGAAAAGGAACAAAGAATGCTTCTGGGCAGCTGGTGACTAGTCAATTTTGGTGCACTAAATCTTAAATTTGGTAAATCATTTCAGAGGTTACACGAATGGAGAAATGGCGAAGTGCGTGAGTGTGTGGGATGAGGGGCGCCGAGGAGGACCTAAAGACAGGAAGAAAGGGCTTAACTTAAGCCTGCGATAAGGTCCGAGATAGACTCCTTCTGTGACTAACTCCTAGCTGTAGCCAGCTCACAATGAGCTGCAGCCTTCCTTTGACTACCAGCTATCTCAGGAAGACCTCGCTGTCCCAGAGTGTATCGACAGCCTCGTTATCGGGCCTGTATTACAAAATTTGGCAGAATCAGAAAGTCATTCTCGATTTTGATATTATATACTTTACATAACTTAAAAGTGAACCTAAATAAATCATGATTTTAAGCAGTCTAAAAATAGATTCTGTTTCTTTTTCAGTCAATGATAATACCTAAGGGATTTTACATTACAGAGACCACTGTGACTTCCGAATCTATAATTATACAGTAAAGCTTTTTATTTCATTAGTTGTCATATCTCATCACTGTACAAATTAGCATAAAATTGTTATAAAACTAACCAGCAGCAAGGTGGTTTATGTTAAAATGATATATGATGTTTAAAAGTTGGCCCACAACTATTTGAGGAGATTGTGTAATTATTTATTAAAGTAGTTTGGATAGTTTTCATAATATTTATGTAACACTAGCCTGTGTGAAGTTATTGCTAAACAAATTAAATTTTCTGCAAGATTTTTATACCAAACATACAGTTTTTGATTGGTGAATCTATCATGGCAGGTTTGAATAGTCTCTTAAACTTTGATTTTTTTTTTCAGTTTTATTGCCATGTATTCAACAAGTAAAATATACTTAGGTTCTATAATGTGATGTTGTGATGCTTAAGACTGTGTGATCATCACAACCCAGATGATTAACATATCCATCACCTCACACAGGTTCATTGGGGAGACTTAAGATGCATTCTAAGCTCAGAAAGAATTAAAATACTAGCAGGGCTAGAGAGATGGCTCTTCCAGAGGACCCAGGTTCAATTCCCAGCACCCGCTTGGCAGCTCACACTTGTCTGTAACTCCAGTTCCAGGGTTTCTGACACCCTCACATAGATATATACAGATATACATGTAGTCAAAACACCAATGAACATAAAAGAAAAATAAATTTTATATGTGTGTGTGTATGTGTAGTGTAAAAATATAAAGTTGGGCAGTGGTGATACATACCTTTAATCTCAGTACTCAGGAGGCAGAGGCAGGAGGATCTTTGTGAGTTAAAGGACACCCTAGCAATACAAAGTGAGTTCTAGGACAGCCAGAACTACACAGAGAAATCTTGTCTCAGAAAACACATACACACACACACACATACACACACACACACACACACACACACAAACATATCTATCGGCACAGTTGGGTAATTTTTGTCATAGAATTAGCATTGCTCACAACAAGAATAAAAACTACTTTTTTAAACACTTAGATTGAAAGGATTTCCCCTTGTTTTGAAAGGTTCTTCCTGTTATATCCAGGAAAAACACATCTTACCTAATTAGCTCGTATATTCAAGGAATGTTCTCAGAATGCCTGTCCTATCACAAAGTCCGAACCCTGCCCTCCACCTTTACTGTCATGGGAAGATTATCTGTCCCAAGTGGTTGTGAGTGGCAGGGCAGTTGTGCATCTTCGGGAATCTCTTGGTTGCTTGGCCTGTCTCTGTTCTTGGCTCATTCCTAGGGATTGGGTAAGTAGGACACTAGGAAGAGAGGAAAAAGCTCCATCCACCTTCCTTAGTGGTCGGGGGTCATCTGTCTGTCTCAGCCTTCTCTCACTCTAGAACCTTCCTGTCCTTCCTCTGAGCTTTAGTCTGTGTTTGTGGGGGATCAAGGGCTGGGGGTTGCAGTCACTTTCTCTATACCTGAAAACAGATGAAGTTAGTAGGCCTGTGTATATTAGGATTTCACAGCTGTGGTGTTAATAGGTTGCTTTTAATGTTAATGGGAGTTACTTTCAATTTTTAATCTCTCTACTAGAACTGAGAATGGTAGTCCATTCCTTTAACACTAGCATTAGAGATGATCTCAGAGTTTGAAGCCAGCCTCGTCTACATAGTGAGTCCCAGAACAGCAGGGTTACATAGAGAAACACTGTCTCAAAAAAACAAAAACAAACAACAACAACAAAAAGATTGTCCTATTCAGATGTTCTTTAAAAGGACTTTATCAAAGATAATTATGTTATAAAGAATATAGAGCAGTTAAAAATGGTTTTAAACAATTGTGCCATCATTAAGTAGGCGTGCTTTATGCAGTGTGGAACCCAGACTACTGTGCTCCCAAGTCTCCGGCATGCAGAATTTGACTTGGGACATGCTGGAAGCACCAGAATGGAGCATCCTTGAAAGTTTGTAGAGCACAGCACTGGAATTCAACAGATGATCCAGACATCCTTACCATAGCAGGAGTGGCAGAGTTAATTGGTTGCTGAGAGGTTAAGGGGCTGACGTCATCCTGACATGTAGCCATTGCCAGCTGGCTATTAAAGCAGGTCGAGGAATGGTTTTAATCGAGCAGCGTCTTTAACAGATCGCTTGCTTTGGACTGTGGCTGTGGGTATGAGGTGACTTCCCGTAAGAAACACAGTCACCATGAGCTCACGTTGGTACTGCAGATGCTTTTGAGAGGCTAGAGAATGGACGGGGTCTTGTCTTCCCATGAAAACAAGAGCAGATGTCCAGTCGTTGATGTAGCCTCGAGTTTTATTTTGCGTATTCTGTAGGGTTACAATATGTCTTCAGAATGTTTTGAGAGAAATGATTAAGAAGCAGTCCTTTGAATCCTGGTTTTGACTTTTTGAGTATGAACGTCTTGGCTAATAGGATTTCTGGGTGAGTCTTAAATCTAGTTGCTTTGCCTTCCCTTCATGGTCCAGGCCTTGTAGACTAACTACAGACATCACCTAATGGCCATGCTGCCTCTACCACTTCCAGCCTTACTCATCTTTCTAGTAAGAGCCTTCTCATAGGTCCTGGGACCCCAGGACCTATGGTTACCTCTGTGATCCAACAGAGTAGCCTTCCTCCACACCCCCCATTCTGCTCCAGGCTTGCTGCTTTGCTGTGGCTGGTGTGGGCAGGCTACACCTGCCTTTTCTACATTGATGTATGTACTGTGCTTCTTCTCTTCGTTCCAGTCTCTGAACATTATTTCTACAGAGAGCCTTCACAGACCTCCCTGCATAAAAGTAGAATCCTGTCCATTTCCTCTGTCTCATATTTGTTATGGTACCTAATGCTACCTGAAGAACTACATCCAATAGTTTATCACTGCCATTAGCTTCAACTGCATGGGATTCAAGGGCTATGTCACCAAAGTGCCTAACCAGTGCATGAGTTTACAGTATGTACTCAAATATTTATTGAATGAATACTTGTGCTGTTAGTTTCACATACTGTGTCTCAAATTAAACACGCTTGACATGTAAGTTGTACCACATACAGATGTGAAAAAGCATCTGGTTAAACATAACTGGGCAAGCATAGCTATTCTAGACTACTGTGTGTTGTAATTAGTTGAATCATCCAGCAGAGGGCAGTAGATTCAGGGCTATAATTGTGACTGAATTAAATCTTGTATTGACTTGAATCAAAGAGTTCAGTTTAATGTAGCCATTCTATAAGGCTGGCGTGGTCTTCAAGTGTGATCTAATGTTTTATCTTTAATTGCTATCTTATTTAAAAATTAAAGGTTACAATAGGTGAGAGACAGACTGTTAAAAAGTGTTTATAGTTTTTAATGCTAATATAGAATTAGTAAAAGGAATCATTTACCTTTTACACATGAGTAAATATAAAATTATACAGTGGCCTGCATGGGACAAGATGATGGCTTTGATAAAGGTTTTAAATGCCAGCATCAAGAAGTGGACATAATGTCCCACCCTGACCGATTAGCCATTTGCAATTGACACCTGCTGGGAAAAGGGAAATGAATAGAGTGCCACTCAGTGTGTCAGCGCCTTCCAAGGAAGACCTGCCGTGGCCAACAGAATGGATTCCATGCTTTTCTGTGCTAATTTTGTTGGTTTTATTTTGTCTTTTTTTTCCTTTCCTTTCGAAGAAAAAAAACATAAAGTCAGATAAATAGGGAGGTGAGAGGATTTGGGAAGAATTGAGTGAGGGGAAAGAATATCTTGAAAATACTTTGTATACAACTTTTTAAATTAAAAAAAATCAATCCTATTTCTGTAAAGGAAAAATAAAAATAAACCCCAAAACCAGAAAACTAAAAAGAAAATGACATGTTTTTTCCTCTAGCCTTGTATCTTAAACACAGTTCCAGTTTTTCATTTTGTTTTGTTTGTTTTGTTCTGTTTGGGTAGAAGTCGACATGAAGAAATGCCCGATACCCAAATGGGGGCTATCTTAACATTGATAGAGGCGGCAACACACTGACACTCTACTTACACTGCAGCAGTCTGCCATGCACACAGAGACGGCAGTCTGTAAATATGTCTAGCTTTAATTCTTCAGTGTGTTCACTTTGGTGTGTTTAAATTTTTTTAAACATTTAAGCTCCCCCACCACTTAATATTCAAATGTTTTAATTGTGCTTTGCAGGTTGCAGCACATCAGATGCTTTAATTTTCTGTGAGAACAGAAACTTATGCTACTGAAAGCCTGAGTTGTGTAGAATTGAATTTTGAATATGTGAGCTGGAGCAAAAGGAGTCCCTAAGACATACTGAGATGTGTGATGTTGCAGTAAAAACCCAGCGAGAGAGCAGCCGACTGTCAAAACAAGTTTAATGATATTTAACAACAAGGTCTGAAAGGGATGATTTACAGTTAAATAAAACGTTTCTGTCTGGTTCTTGTGCTTTTCTTTATGTCAATTACTAAAATTTGATTGTTTTTAAGAAGTCAAATAAATTCACCAAGTTGGTGTACAACAAATACATTCAACTTACATACTTTTGGTGGACAGAAAAATGACAAGACATTTAATGAAAACCAGCAAACATCACATCTTACCAAGATTACGCATCACGTGAGAAGGAAATAAGATAGTTTCCTTTTTAAAAATTAGACCACTCTAATACAGCTGTGCAATATATACATTTACATTTCGGCTTCGTTTGCCAAAATCAAGTACAAACATACAATCTATATATTTACACAATGACTATCTATGTCTTTATACTTTAAAATTCAAAGTAGTAAATATGGAACTTCCAACTTTTCCCCCCATGTTTATCTTTTGCCTCTGGATGTTTACTCTTTCCTGCTGATGACAACGAGCTTCTGGAAAGTACATGAAGGGCGTGTCCTAGGAGATTGTGTGTAGAATTGTTCTTTGTGTGCAAGGAGACAGATGAAGGAGCTAAGCTGAGTCCTGCCTTCTGTTTAATGAGCTCTTAATGAGATTTTCACATGTTGGGTTCAGCTACATATCAGGATAGATATGGTATAGCATCATACTTTATAGTTTAGAATAATCACTTAGGTGACCATCATAAATTGGCCTTAGTTGTCTTTATTCTTCACAGTTAAAAAGGCAACTTTCACTGTCGTATAAAAATAACACTGCTAACTAGGAAAGCATCTGTCCGGTTAGACGTTCATAGTTTGCTGTTACGATGAGTGGTGTGTAATTTCAAGTGAGTCCCGTTTCTTTATCACACTATTTCATCATGCTGCTGTTCATAGAGTTGTGTGGTGGCCATGCAAGAAGCAACTCAGGTTTTTAAGATCACATTTTGTTATCTACCATTTATGAAATGTATATTTTACCCTGACATCTTTGAGTCCTGTAGTTCACTTAAAGCAAAGGTATGGTTCAATGGACCACATAATTTCCTCTCAAATACCACCTCCCTCCCCCCCCAATAATTTCTTAGGAACATTCATCTTTGCTTAAAATTCCTTGAAAAATACAGGAGTCATTTGGTAAAACCTGGAGACATTTGTTATTGTCCAGATCATGGGGGAAAGGGTCAGTAGAGCCCAGGGATAGCTGCTTAAAACCTTGTAGGCATGAGGCAGCCCTTTCCCCACAAAACTGTCTGCTTCAAAGTAACAATATGGCTAAACTCAAAAATCCAGTGGGTGGGGTGAGAAATGGGTTACACGACTGTGTCTAAGTCTTACTTGTAACTCAGGCTAACACACACATACACGAGTGTGCAATAAATTAACATGCTGTGTGAAATATTCTCTAGCAACTTAATGACTGGTTTCTGCACCCTTTAAAATTTTGGTTAGAATGACACAACTGTTAAAAGAATCTGGATCATGTAACTAAAAGAGTACCAAGCTGTTTTTGCAGTACCTCCGTGACATTTACAGCTAATATTTTTTTCCTTGTTTGTTTGGCTTTATCAAGGCTGAAGTGAGCCATTTAAGTGGTCCAACTAGCTCTGAATTGCCACCCAGGAGCATGGCATAAGGATGCGGTCAGGGCCATCCATCCACATGTGGACAAATTGTTTTTCCTCTGACATCTCTAGGTCTTATTCTTGGAGGCTATAGAGCAGGAAATCCATAAGGCTTTTAAGATTGAGTCACTACCTAGCCCTAAGCCTGACTTCCTCTTTCATAAGAAGTTCCTAGAGGTTGGGGACCAGGCCAAAGGTTTTTGCATATAGCGAGTGACCGAGTGAGTTTTACAGCTGTTCCTGAACCCTCCTCTTTCCACTCTCTTCTAGAGAATGTATAGGTTCAGAATGAGGAGCAAATGGTAGGAAAGGACCACTCCTCCGTAGGGTGTGGTCTGTTTACATCACAAGGACCAAGAGCTTGTCAAAAGGCCAGCTGTTGGGCCTTCTGTCGGCCCAGTTTCAATAGTTAGGGCTGAACAGTTGTGCCCACCTCAGTCAAGCACAGAGGATGTTCCTGCTAAGTTAGTGATTGCTGCTGCTGCTTCCAGCTTACAAATCCCCAAGTCTTTCCATTTACTTATTATTTTTTAATAAACATAACAGCTACAAATTCAGGTGTAGTTTAATTACTTGTTTAGCAGCAAATGAAAATAGGTCCCTAAAGTTAAGGAGTGTATAATCACACAAGTATGTGAACTAAACAGATGACATTCTCAGCCCAACACTTGGGTTAGTGTAGGGGTGCGTGATGGGTTGGTATACATGCTGTAGGAGATGCTGATGGTGGATAAAGGAAAGTGGGTAACTGCTGGAGAGAAAGGCAGGCCGCAGGGGGCTTCTGTCATAAAGGCAGCAGGAAAGGGGAGCGGTTAGGGAGGCAGCTTGAAAAGAAATTGTTTATCTCTGGCCAATACACTAGATCTCTCAAAAATAACTAATCAATTAAAAGAGAACTTTTGTGATTCCTAAAAGGAAAGATGGTCCCTCCCTTTCCTTTGGCAAGGAGCAGACAGTTATACTATAAATTTGTTAAGGTTACAAGTAAATTTTTGTGCCTTGGTTTTTAAACCTACCCCAGCTTAATGTTTGTGGAGGTTTCTTTAGTAGGTGGTATATTTATCTGCAAATATATATATATATATACACACACACACACATATACATATATACATACATATACGTGTATGTGTGTTTATGCATACATATTTATGTTTCTCTTGGTTATTCAAGCATTTCAAGCATGTTCATAGTAAGGTAGGACTCAGACGCAGAAAGGGGCTGAAAGAAAGCACACATTTTTTCTACTTTTTTTTTTTTTTTAAGATGCTACTAAACAAGCACTCTACCATTAAGCTAAGCCCCAGCTGTCATTTCTTCTTTTGCTTTTAGACAGGGTCTCCTTAAGTTGTCCAGGATAGCCTTGAACTCTACAGCTCAGGGAGACCTCAGACTCCAAGTCCTGTCTCAGCTTCCTGAGGAGTAGCTGAGATTATTGTCCTGCAATAGCAGGACTTTGTTTTTAAAAACTTAGTTAATAAATAAAATTACCACTTAAAAATATCCTCTGTGGCATCCTTGGAGGAGCAGCATAAATTGAAAAACAATCTATGCTGGTTGTCTTTCTTGTCAACAAACATTCATTTTCATTATAATATTAATATAGTTGTATGTCCACAGAAAGTACTCAGTATATTTATACATATACATATATACATACATATAAATATATAATCTATTATATGATTGATGCCAATTATATATGTTTGATATATATGCTATATTGATAATATATAACATATATACTATGTATAATAGTATACACCAGGTACTTTCCACTTTTGTTGTTACTGTTAATCAAAATAAAAAGAGCATTCCCCATGCACTCTTCCACCCCCAAATCTGAAAAACGTTTCCATTTTCTTGAAGGTTTGTCATGCCATGAAGCATCCCATCTTCCTGATATAAGGTAAACACTGGACTAGCCAGTCTGAAGACAACTTTTTCCCTTTCTATATGATGTCTTTGGTCTTTCTACCCCTAACCACACCACCCACAATTTTGTCATCCCCAACTGACCAGCAGGTACTCTAAGATGATCAGGCTAGTTTGCCTATTAAATTATTTAAAAGTGGACTTTAAAAGAAGTCCATTCAGCACACCAGCGAACCCTTGAGGGGATGCCGCTAGCCCCCACACAGTGGTGTCCACCGATGGTTTAGCTGTTGAGTTCTGTGGTCTCCTCCATCTCGTCTGGATTTTGGCCCATTTTCTTATACTGTCTTTTGAAGAAGCCGAGCTGTAAGATGATGACACAACCTGTTACCAACCTGTAGCCACAGTTATCTTGATTTGATTGTTATCTAACAGACACGAGGTGCATCTACACCACACTATGTCCAGAAAATAGCAAAAATTGAAGGAATGACATTACCACTCACAGCTCTTTCAGTAGGTACCTTTGACCTGCTTTGCTGCCTACTTCCCTGCAGCCCCTCTAGAGTACCTGGAGGTTTGGGGGACGTGCACGGGTACTGACTAATGTCTACACACACGTGTGTTGGTAAACTTTATGTCCAGAGAGTTAGGTTTCATTTTGTGTGAGATTGAATTTCTGTCATCCTATCTACTTGAAGCTGAACAAAATGTTCGGGGTGCTGAAAAACAGTGCCCTTATTGGTTTTCAAAGACCTGAGTAAGAAAGCACATACAATCTTGCATTTCTCTTCTCAATGGTGAGAGGTACTATGCCATATGCCATATTCAGGCTGGTATTTTGTAAGGAATTCAAAACAGGAGCCTCCAGGATTGCCACGTTAGCCATGAAGTTTTCTTACCTTCCACAAACCTGCAACCATAGCCAGCAGCAAAAGGACTCCAGCAACTACGCTTCCTATGATAACCCCTGTTGGGACTTCTGCTTTCTCCGTGGGTTTCATGATCATGAGGGGAATCTGCAAATGAAGACATGCTCCAAACTGAGTTATCTATTTAGCAGAAAAGCGAAAAGGCCTAGTGCAACTCGGTGGTAATTTATAACTACAATCCACAGTTGTAGAGGGGAGTTGTAACTTGTCCTGATGGTATTCATTCCTCAAGCATCACACAGAACACGTGGTAGAGATAACCTGAAACCTCAGGGAAGCATGGCCTCTCTACCTTCTCTTCCTCAGCTAGATTCGTGTCTGAGGGCTAAGCTGAGCTGAAGGCATCAGATGCTTTGTTTAAAGTAGGCACTTCAGTTTCTGGTGCACGTTTCCGTGACCAAAGAAGATTGAAGCACCCTAGGAATGGGGCAAAGCATTGCCTCTTCCAACTCTCACGCAATAACTTTGCATCGGCTTTTAAAATACTGATTCCAGTCTCAATTTAGTTTGATATAAAACACCAGAAAAGTAGAATGCATATTTCACAGGGGTGAGGTTGGCATTTTCAGCGGTCACATTGTCCTCGAGTGTATTTATGACTTTGTGCCCATGTCCCTTGGTGATCTTGGCATGCAGTGGCAGCCC